CTATAAATCAATGTAACAATTCCTAACTGACGGTATTTAATTAGTGTTCATGACACTGAGTTAACAAAACTTATGCTAAGCGTTGAGAAACTTCGGACAGGCAGATATGTCCCAGTTTAACAAATAGACGGCTTCAGACTTTGACACACAATCATTTCAAGTTATTCGTGCTATTAATCATAGAGAGAGCGTACACCTTTAACTAAACTATCGCACAACTGTCGTGCGATTGTCGATTGTTTTGCGGCCCATTCAACTGTTTATTTTCACAACTAAAAATTGAATAATATGCGCGCCTTCATTCAAGCTTATAGGAATTAAAGCGCGACTAAACAGTAGTGCGATAGACAAAGGTGAGTGAGAAAGCGAGTCTTTTCAAGCTTTTAAATTTTGATTTAAATGGAAAATTCGCAAATAAACTAAAGCGCCTTAACATTTTTTAATTTAGAAATAGAGCGTTTTGTTTTGAAATTTCAAAGAGCGTCGCGTCGTGTTGGTGTCGACACGTTCGCTGAATGAGCAAAAACTGGTTCCAAGCGTTCGCGATTATACACTTTAATTAAAGAGTTCATTGTATTTAATTTTAATACTCTAGCAAAATATAATACAGCGGTTTTAAGGTAACGATTATTAATTAAAATTTCACTTTAATAACAATAACGTAAAAAGATAATTGTAAATTTTACTGTAACAATTGAATTAAAACACAGCATTATTGAAATACGTTCGCAAGACACTTTAGTTCATGTTAGGACTTGCTTTCCACCGCGACTTCGTCCGAGTGGAATTAAAAAAAAAACAAAAGTGACTAGCCTATGTGTTATTCCAGACTATTTTCTACATCTATACGAAATTTCATCGTAATCCGTTCATCCGTTTAGGCTACAAACACTAACAAACATCCATCCATCTAAACTTTCGCATTTATATTATTAGTATGAAAAGTATGATAGTATGATTATGTTTGAGTTCTCATCATTGAGATTTATAATATTATTAAAATTATTTATATTTTAAGATGATCCTGCTGAATTATTATACAAGGAAAATATGTTCGATAAAATCACTCAAAGCTTTGTCAATAATTCGAAGAAACTTTGTTCGTATTTTTTATTTTCATGGATACTATCGACAAAAACAAACTTTCAAAGAAAAAACAATAAAACACAATCTACTTTGGATACTTAAAAGCTTCCATTAAAAGCTTCCGAATTTTGTTACAGTACCAATGAGCTTACGTTGTCGGATATTTACTTTGATTAACGCGATAGCGCTGAAACAAAACTGCCTTTACGTGATATTATCAGATATTCAGGCTCAATATCAAAAGTTTTCCTTGACCATGAGTAAAGCTCATTAATTTAACAAGTTTTTTATCATCCTCTGCTATATTTTGTAATGTATTTTACGCTTATTAATTCTAGATAAAAAAATCTAGGAATGTTAGTTATTTTTGGTTTCTCAAAGATTTTTTCCCAAGTTAGGAAATTAACGTGACAATCAAAGATTCATATTATACCCTTAAATAATATGAAATTTATTATACGATATGATGCAAATAATGTTAGAACTCGAGTAACAAAGTTAACGCTACAATCTGCTCAGAATGGGGAATCTCTCAATGTGCAGATAAGTTATAACTTACTAAATGGAAATTCAAATTTCGAATTTAAAGGGAAACGTTGAAGTTATCGTTTGAATTTACATTAGAAATTGTGATTTTCAAACAAAAGTTATTACAACTGCATTTATTAAGTAAACTTTGATCCTACAAAGTCCACTAAGTTTAGGTAAGGTTTAGGTATGGGGTAAATATCAAGTGGTTCACTTACGAAATGACACTTCCCCTGAGCGAGCTTGCAACACAAGAGATAGAAATAAAAAAATGTCCAAACTGAGTTTAAGCAAGCTAATTAAGACAAGTTAAGTTAATAATTTGTAACGAAACTATCAAAAAAAGGATGTGGACTGGATTCTTACCAATTTATTAGTAACTGACTGTTGCTCGCGACTTCGCTCGCGTGAAATTAAAAATAATCAAATATGTAGCCTATGTTACTCGTTGATAATGTAGCTTTTTAATGAGGAAAGATTTTTTACACCAGTCCAGTAGTTCGAATTATTTCAAATACAAAAATAAATGTTTTCTTTTTATACGAGTAATAATAGTATAGATCTGAAACTTTTTTTTTCATTTCGTAAAATCTCATTGTATCATACTGATATTCTAAATGCGAACGTTTAGATGGATGGATGGATGTTTGTTAAAGTTTGTAGCCTAAACGGCTGAACGTATTTCGATAAAATTTGGCACAGGTGTAGAGGATAGTCTGGAAAAACATATAGGCCACTTTCTTTTGTTTTTATTAATACCACGCGGACGGAGTCGCTGGCAGAAGCTAGTAATCTAATAAAGAAAACTTGGTACAAATATTAGAAGTAACATTGTGGCCAGATGTTACAAACAGCCAATTTAATAACGGAGTGAATTTTTCAAAGTGCAATTTCAACAAACGTAACAAGAAAATAGAAAGAGCTAAAATTTGACAAAATGGATATATGGAACGATTTTATGAAAACGAAAAAAATGTGTGAAATCCTTAAGAACCTCAAGAATTAAAGACATTACAAAAGAAAGGTACCTTTTGGAGTTATATTTGAAAAACTCCATCTATCGGACAAGCTTTCATGGAATAAAACTACTTAACTCATTTCAAAAATTCTTGTGCTATTACAAGCAATGTTATCACTGAGTAACATAGGCTATACTATTATTAATTTCACGTGGACGAAGTCGCAAGTAACAGCTAGTATTTAATATTATAAATGCAAAAGTTTAGAAGGATGAATAGATACTTGTTATAACTAGATGAAATTTGGCACAGATGTAAATCATAGTTTGGAAGAACAAATATTCTACTTTCCAAGTGTTTTAATGTCGCAGGCAAAAGTGATTATTTCCAGTAAAAAAAATAGTTTCGTACGTATGTTTTCGTTGAAAATTCACCGTTATATTTTTAGAATATGTATTGTAAAGACAGTTTAAATAGAGACATCTTTAAAGTCATTCCAAGACTGAAGAGAGAAACAATTTGCTATTCTAAAATAAAAGCTATTTGCAACTTGCAAACACTAATTTCGACTTGCGTCAACGGAGCAAAGTAAATTCTGCTTCCATTAAAATTCTCGTATTCTTATTTTCTCAAAAATTTTACGTTAGGAAATACAAAAAAAAATTCTGTTACATAAACAATGACAGGTAGATCATAAGATACGAGTATGTTTATCTCTATTTTTAGATAAAGGATGAAAGAGACGATCTGTTATTGTAAAATTGTTTCCGCAGTGTAAACGCGCAGTAATAAAGCTGTGATAGGCAATCACTTTGTAAAACAATCAGTGCGTAGCCGGCTTTTGTTTATTCAATACAAGTTGTAACATCGCTCGTAATGAGGCTTTTAATCAAAGTGAATATCACAAACGTAACGTTATACGGCTTATTTGGAGTGTTGCTAAATTGAAAAGGCCTCGTATAATACAAACGAATGCAAAGCGAAACTTTAAAGGACATCAATATTTTGTCTATGGAATTTGTTGCATCTTATTGTTAGTGATGTTACATCGATATATCTTATTTCATACTAATATTATAAATCTGAAAGTTTAGATGGATCGATGGATGTTTGTAGCCTAAACGGCTGAACGGATCTCGATGAAATTTGGCATAGACGTAATTTATAGTCTGGAATAACACATAGGCTACTTACTTTTGGTTTTTTATAATACCAAGAGGACGGAGTCGCGGGCGAAAGTTTGTTTTAATCTGTGAATTAGAATTATGATACAATTTTAAGGTTTCTAAAGCGCAAATAAAATAATTCATCGCGTAAAATGCATGATTGTCCCTAAATCTATAATTTAAAGAACCACAAAGAACTTTAAAGAATGAAATTTACTAAACATGTGATTTAGAAGATTATATAAAAATATATGCTTTAGAGGATTTTAAAAACCCAGTGCAATTCAAATTGATGTCCATGGGGAAATCACTCAAGACAATAACTGGGATATTTAAATATCTAACTTTTTATTTAACACCATTCATGTTTTTTTCGCGTAACACGTGTATTGATATTACTTTTGATTTCAATAAAATTGCTAACTTATGTCTTACTAGCTTTCTCCCGCGATTCCGTCAGCGTGGAATTAAAAATAAACAAAAGCAAGTAGCCTATGTGTTCTTCCAGACTACGCCCTGCATCTATGCCAAATTTCATTAAGATCCCTGCAGCTGTTAAGGCTACAGACTCTAACAAACATCTATCCATCCATCTAAATCCATCTTTCGCATTTATAATATTAGTAAGATTGTCAAAACTCAATCAAAGATCAACCTATGGTGGTTACAAGTGACTTGACGAGCATGATGCAAGTTGATTGGCGTTTAAAATTGGTCTTGAGACTGGTATGGTACAGGCGTTAGTACTAGCTCGACAGTGAGCAAAATTGAGCATGTATTTTCGTGTGTATCTACCATAAGCTGTTCCCGAGCGGCTTCAACGCATGAATATATATTATCTTTATATTGTTTACATTTGTTAAATTTCAAAATTCAAATTCAAAAATGACAACTATGGCAACCTAACTTCCTTGATATTAGCATGTAGTTTATGTTCTCTCTTCCTATTTCTTTACCCCTAAGTTTAATAGTGTGAAAATATATAGCATAAAGCGTGTCGTAAGTGTGGGCCTTTTTATTAAAGAAATAATTATTTAAAATTTGGCTGTGATTATTGCTGACATCCTACGCCACAAAGTAGTATGCGTTTGCGTTTCATTATATTATAATAAGTATTGACTAAAGTTAGTAGGAAATTTTGTACGTTTTATAATGTTCACAAAATAATCAAAGCGTTTTTATAAATGTTCTATTTACAGTGTAATTACAAAGTGTGTACTTTAAGAATTTTCAATGTCTCAGAATTAAATATTTGCCCAATTTACATTCCATTACGCTCCACCGCGCTTCTCACTAAAGTGTTTGTTGAATCCCGCTTTAATATTTTAAATATTCTTTGTACATTACTTTATCAAAATTATTCGTTATTAAAATTTCAGCATTTATTTACTCATTCGTACATTTAAGTAGGAAGGAAATTAATTAGAGTTTTAGTACCAAGTAAATCAGATATCAACATTTTTATATGTACTATTTTACGAATAATTAACGGATACTTTACGAATCTTCATCATCACCACCAGCTTACTGTATGTCCCCACCGAGGGGCTCGGAACCTACCCTAAGTTAGGGGCGACTAGACCATAGTCAAGCACACTGGCACAGTTCGGATTGGTTGACATCACATATAACTTTGAATTTCTTGTGCAGGTTTCGTCACGATGTATTCCTTCGCCGTAAGAACGTCGCGTAAATTATTTATATTCGTATAATTAAAATTCGAATATCGAAAACCAAATTGGTACATGTGGGATTCGAAACCAAAACCAGTAGATTAATTATCAAGTGCTCAAACCCCTGAGCCACCGACGCTCAAGAAATTTTTAAGAATAATTATATCTAAATGTTATTTAAAAAAATGCGAATTAAACTATGTAAGAAAAAAAAAACATATTATAAAATAACATTTAATAAATACACTGCAATAATTGTAAAAATACATGACTTCAGATATCCAGAACCACTAACTTCGTACGGATTAGGATCGAAATCCCAGTCAATAAATCTACTGCTTATAATTTCTTTATAAACCAGCGCAGATTTTCTCGGAATCCTTTCCTTTTCGGGATCATTTATATCTATTTCGTAAAGCCCGAACCTTTGCCTGGAAATAAATCATCATTTAAATTATCAATTCTAAAATCAAATTATTCTGAATCCATTTACAACATTGGTATACAGAACTAGCCGTAATGAGGAAGCGACTGTTGCCTAAAGACATACGCAAAAGGATACAGCACGAAACCTCCTTATCCTGCATTCATACAAAAATTATGCCTGTCAGTTGCAGCAAACAGCTTAGTTTATTTACGTCATTAAGGTGTTCAAGACTAGGCTCTTGTCAACCCCGCTAACCTAGTGTGTATTGGTTGACTACACTGATCTTTGAATATCTTTACATGTGCAAAATTCCTTACAAATCGTGTCGTTCCCTTTAGTAGTCCCCTTAAGTAGGTAGAATGTAAAATTTAACTTACGTATATCCCATTGCCCATTCAAAGTTATCCATTAAACTCCATGCGCTGTAACCACGAATGTCAACGTCCTCCGCCAGAGCGTCCAATAAAGCGGTTAAATAATTCCTGAAATACTGAACTCTTCCAGTATCGTTCAAACCAGTAGACGTTGAAAAACCATTCTCAGTTACATAGATTGTCGGATTATTGTACGTATTTTTTATATACACAAGAAGGTTATAAAAGCCTTGAGCATGTTCCTGGAATATAAAATATTACTAATATTATAAAGTAGCTGTTCCCGTGCGGCTTCATCCGCATGGAATTATGAAAATTTTATTTTATTGTTTACATTTTTCTAATTATCAATAGCAAATGCCAAAATGACATGACGTGACATGACAATCCATGGCAATTTTGCTGCCTTGACATTGGCAGCAACTTATGGTCTCTTTCCCACATTACGGTTTTTGTCTAAAATATTTACCCCATAAGTTTTATGGCGTGGAAATATATAGGATAAACCTTGACGTAAGTGTAGGGCTATTTATTAAAGAAAGAATTATTCAAAAATATGCTGTAATTGCTGACATCTTAGGCAACAAAGAAGTGTGTGTTTACGCTTTATTATGATAGTATAGATGGGAAAGTTTATATGGTTTTTGTTAGAATATGCAATCTAAACGGTCAAACAGATCTAGATGAAATTTGGCATAGATGTAGAGTATAGTCTGGAATGCATAGGCTACTTGCTTATGTTTATTTGTAAATCCAAGCGAACGGAGTCGCAAGCAAAAGCTAGTTCGTTAAAAAAATTAAGGTACATAAAATGTTAAGAGAAATCATATCAATGAAAACAAAATAGGATGTTCACTAGAAGACAAAAGATGTCTGTTTTTTTTTAATATTTCGACATTATACATACCCGTAACCAAGTACTGGCGCTGACTGGCCAGCTGGGATCTTTGTAAGTTGTAAATCCGGTATCATCGTTGAAGGAGGGTGCTTCATACATTCCTAGAACCGAAGCGTTTCTATATACAATTTCGCTTGTATAATGATTTAAAGCTAGGAAGTCGGATGTGCCTCTCATGTAATCTATTTGTTCCTGACTGAAGGGACGTAGTCTTGAAATCTGGAATCCTTGACTGCTGCTGATATTGGCAACGCGATCGATGAGACGTCGAGGGTAGTTTCCTTCGATAGTGAATATTGGATTGGCGAATATTCCCAACTGCAAAGGAAGTGAACTTTATCATCAGCAGAGTATATGACTTTATTTACACTAGCGGAAATTTTAACTAAACAATCAGTACATGTAGTAAAATTTATTTAGGACACAATTTATTTTCAGTCTATTTTAATTCTTCAAATGGCTTTCTTCTTTTTTATTTTTAAGAATTAAATCTATAATAATATAACTAATAATATCCCGTAAGATGGACTCACCGAGTTTTCTTTATCATCCGTCATCTCAGTCATCACTTCCTTCTTGATCATGTCACCTTTCACACATTCCATCCATCTCTTTCTAAGAACTATCACTTACATGGAACGCGAAATAATCCAAAACCGCCTCAGCGTCATCTGCTGAATCACTATCAGGATACGCCCAATCCATGCTCAAGACTATGCCAACTTCTCCACCTTGCGATTTAAATTCATCCTGATAGATATGATAAGCCTTCGCATGCGCCAATAGTATATGCCTACCGCACTCATAGAAACCAGTCGCTGGCTGATGTACTCTAGGAGCATGACGTAGAGTGATAAAACCTTGATAGCAATGAACATACGGTTCGTTAATCGTCAACCAATGTTTGACACGATCTCCAAAATGTTGGTATAATACTCTCGCGTAATCGCCAAATATATCCACTAAACCTTCATTCAGCCAACCACCTTGCTCGTTCAAATTTTGCGGCAGATCCCAATGGTACATCGTTACGAACGGAGTTATCCCATTAGCTAATAACTCATCAATTAGTGCATTGTAATATGCGATGCCGTATGGATTTACATAATCCGCTCTACCGTAAGGTAATATTCTCGGCCATGATATTGAAAATCTGTATATATCAACACCCAAATCTTTCAGGATTTGAACATCTTTTTTATAAAAATGATAAGAATTGGCGGCTACATCTCCGTTAGTATTGTCAGCTACAAATTCGGGATCCGTACGAACTAGATGATCCCACATCGACCATCCTTTACCTGATATAGAATTAGGTTAAAAATTAAAATAATGTTTATTGATATACATGTAAAATCGAAATGAACTAAAGTTCACATGAAAATAGTTCAACATCTAATGATCTAATTAGAGATATTAAGATACCACAAAAATAGTTCAACATCATTAGATGTGAAGAACTGAAGTTAAGCTCATGTGTAAGAACTATTTTTGTGGTATTTTTAATTTATTCGGTTCTTAAAAGGTCAATAGTCCAAACAGCATAAATATGTCAAGCTCTGTGTATAAAAATACTTGCAAAATTGTGATAAAGATATTAATCTGATAGGTTTTAATTTTTACATACCATCGGAATTCCAGCCACCTTCGATTTGATAAGCCGAAGTCGATACGCCGAATTTAAAATCCGGTGGAAACATTTTTGACGCATACTGCATTCTTCCATTGCCGCATGTTCCATATCCAGTAGATAATATACTTAAATAGAAAATTTTATTCATGAGCTTTATTGACACATATATCACAACCGATCTGGAGCCAACTCAAAATTAGTATAAGCGCTTACCCATGCTCAGTGCAGATTGGTTTGATTTCAAACATCTTATGAATTTATTTTTACTACGACCTCCCATAACTTCCTAATATTATAATGCGAAACTTTGGATGGATGGATAAAAGGATGTTTGTGAGAGTTATCCTAAACTGCTGAATGGATCTCGGTGAAATTTGGCATATATAGAGGCTTGACTGGAAGAGCACATAGTATACTTACTTTTGTTTTTCTTAATTCCACGCGGACGGAGTTTTTTTTATAAGAGAATGGGGGCAAACGAGCGACGGGAACACAGAGGTGAATTGCGTTGTTTTGTTAAATTGAATGAGTCGCGGCCGAAAGCTAGTAATTAAATAAATCTCACGATTCAATTGTGTCGATGAATTGGTTTTGTTTGATTACCATTTTCCTATAGAGCTATACATCCATCCCGCTTTTGTAGAGCCATTTATAAAGGTTTATTGTTTTTAAAACTAGTTTTTTTTTTATAATATAAGGAGGCAAACGAGCAACGGCCATCTGAATCCACCGAAAAGGAAAGCGACCGCTGCCCATAAACATCCGCAAATGCAGATGCATTGCCTATCCTTGATTAATGAAGGATTAGATGCACATAAAGAGGACATTTCCCCTTCCTATGCGTCTCCTCCACCAAATCCACTTTACCTTCCGAACCTTTCATCATAAGAAAAGGGTGAAAGGGAAAGGGATTATAATTATTATTAAATTATTTACCTGGATATTGCCAAAAATATTGTGCTAATTTTCGTCATGACACCGCAAAGAAGCTGATTAAACTGTTTTTTTACTAACATATAATAAACATTACGTTATATCTTATCTGGACTCCTATGCATGTAGATTACTTATCGGTAATCATTAACAATATAATTAAGTTAGAATACTTATATATCAGCGGATTAAGCAAATGATACAAATCTACAGGACCTTTGTTCGAATCCCGCTATGTACCAATATGATTTTCGAATTTCATTTGTACATAATATACCGGACGCTCTTACGGTGAGGGAAAACATCGTGATACCTGCGATCTGTGAATAAATTCAAAGATATGTTGAAGTCAACCCTCAGTGGATCAGCGTGGTTGATTATGGTCTAGTAACCCTGGCGCACCCTGGTCTTCCGGGTGCGCCTGCGAGTAGTCCGGGGACATCGTCCCCGGTAAGCGGGGTCCGCTAACGCAGACGACGCTGGCTGGGTCGCGGAAGATTGCGCAAGCGTTCCTGTGACCCAGCCACTGGCGGATAGAAGGACCACCGCTGGGTTTTTAGTGGGTATTCCGGCCATTTTCCACCTTTTCGACCGGCGAGTCCCACATACCCCCCCTGGTAAGGGGGGGGGGGGAGGATGCGTAAATACATTTTCCCAGCGAGAGAAAAAAAAATGGTCTAGTATCCCTGACTTGTGTTCGCTCCGCGGCTCTCAGTTGGGACGTACACTGAGTTGGGGATGCATAGAACATCGTATAATCCTCACCAAAATAGAACTACAAAATAAGTTGTTTGTTGTAATTTTATTTAGAGCCTTTTAGAAGTACCTTTTAACAAACATCCATTCATCTACACATTTGTATTTATAATATTAGTAAGAAGTATTTTATTAAGATTATTGTTTACAAAAATGTAACAATTATTAAAATACTAGGTTATGCTCGCGACTCCATCCGCGTTGAATAAAAAAACAAAAGTGTGTAGCCTATGTGTTCTTCCAGACTATCCTCTATACCTATACCAAATTTCATCGAAATCCGTTCATCCGTTTATGCTACAAACTCTAACAAACATCCATCTACATTTTTGCATTTATTAAATTTGGTATGGAGTATGATTAGTACATCATTTTATTCCATTGCGATAAGATCAAGGGCAATGTTATCACGTACAGAAATACATCTTTATTACTTCTCATATAATTATCGATAGCGACATAATTAAGATTATATTTTTTGATCTTTTTATCGCTGCTAAACTACGCTGGATTTAGACGATAATGACTCATTATGCTTGTATTAGTCGCCTTGAGCTAGCACGATATCAGAATTACTACTACTCGAGATACATTCACAGGATACATTTCAGGAATTCATTCAGAATAATCTAAGTTCTCTCGAAAGTCGCTTGGCGGCGCTCGTGTTCTAATTATGACTTAATTCAAATTGATTTCTTCTTTTGATTGCGACATATTCATATTGCTGTTTCTATTTTACAAAAAAAGAATGTAAGGGATGCCAATATATGTCAATACAAGATTTGTAAATAACAAACACTGGTTTGTTCGAATCCCGCCACATACCAATGTGAGTTTCGGTTTATCGAATTTTTATATGTAAATTTACCCGGCGTTCTTACGGTGAAGGAAAACATCGTGAAGAAACCTTGCACATATTGGCGAAGAAATTCAAAGATATGTGTGAAGTTAACCCAACCCGCAGTGAGCCAGCGTGGTTGACTAAGGCCTAGTCACTCTAACTTAGGGTAGGCACCGAGACCCTAAGTGGGGACGTATAGTGAACTGGTTATGATAATGATGACACACAATCCATCCATCTCTTGCTAGGCTTTATCGATGTACTCCTCCATATTTACATTGAAAATACTATAATTTAAAATATGTTGTTCACCAATGACATTATTTTATTTAATCTCAACAGTAAAGATAACATATTATTTTGTTGTTTCATAAAATATTTGATTTTGTGAATATTTGCAATCCTAGTTTTATCTATTCGGTTTGTCCGAAATATAATACGGCAATGTGTTAATTTTAAAAACATTATCTTGTACCATGATGGGACAATCCTAAAATACCGAGATCAGTGCACATTGAAATTGTTGTAAAATCGGACGCTGTCAGTTAATATTTTTTTTGAAATTGAAATCAATTCTGATAAGAATACATTAACACATTTAGAATGTACTCAAAAACCAAGGTAAGGTTTAATTTAAATACTCAATTATGTGCAAGCACACACATTTAGTTTTAACTGCGCAATATTAATTGAATAGTCGAATTTATTTGCACGTAACTAAGCATTCAGTAACCACTTTTTTCATAAAAATATCGCTCGAAATCTACACCCCACTTTCAACGCTATTACTCGTGTTCGGTATGAACCCTTATCCAAATAAATGTGTCCATCATCAAGAAAATTTAATGTAGATTATAAATGCCCTTGGAACTATATAATTCCGATCAATAGTTTAGGAGATATCATAAATTGCAAATTACGAATCGCAGAAAAAAATACCAACTTGTAACAAAGTTTGCTTTCTTGGCTTACGTAGCCTAAACCATAAGATCTACATAAAAATGGTGTATCAAAGAATTGTAGCTCATTTAATTAGCTAAATAAAAATCCGCGCTAGCATATATCTATCTCTTAAGGTTTTCGCACAATAACCGTTTCGTGAAAACCGTCAAATAAATGCAATCGACTTCATTTAAAACGCTTTTATTCTTATTTGGTATAAATCCTTATCCAAATAAATATGTTTTCACGATAGAGTATTAAATGTAGATCATAATTGCCTTTTACAGTATGTGATTCTGACCAATATTCTAGAAGTTATCAAAATATTAAAACTCACGGGCAACAGCGGCGCGCGGCTGGACAGAATTATGAGTGAATAGTCGCAACGATGTATTAGATCTTTACTTAATTTCTTATATAATCGATTTAGATAACTCATTCTTTATTTGAAAGCTAGTGATTATCATACTACGTTGTTTAGATTCACTAAAAATCGAGAAATAAACAAACTTTTTAATAAAAAACAAAACCGACGTCCAAAAACAAAATATTCTCAAAAAAAAACAGTACACTAAAAAGTAACGAAATAATCCCTTGAAAATAGTATACCTTTAATTGTCAATTGTTATGGTAAAAATGTGGAAACTCTTACGTAGAAATAAATATCACTGCATACCTTGGCTGACACCGACATCAAAGTAATAATAATTGTACAATATAGACATAGCAGTTACAATAAGGTAGGTTTACTATTTTCAAGGGATTATTTCGTTACTTTTTAGTGTACTGTTTTTTTTGAGAATATTTTGTTTTTAGTGTATTTTGTTTGGAAGTCGGTTTTTTCAGATAAATGTGAACACATTTTTGCTTTTGATATGGACATCTTTTTTTGTTATAACAAACGCCAAAATTTCCTGCTACTACGAAGATAATCTTAATTCTTATTTATTGTGCACCTCAACAGAAAAAAATAACACATTTAAAAAAGATGATCTATTTAAGAAGCCGGATGTTGTTAGAATAATCCTGAAAAAGTGTCAATTATCAACCATAGAAATGGATACGTTTCAAACAATGAGATTTTTTAACACTCTCGATTTATCACGGAATCAATTAACAGATTTACCTTTGGGTTTGTTCGAAATGAATACACTTTTAAATTCATTGGATTTGTCTCATAATTTACTGACAGATTTACAGCCAGGTATATTTAATAAAGCGTCGGTGACTCAGTGGTTTGAGGGCGTCGGTGGCTCAGTGGTTTGAACACTTGACTTGTAATCTACAGGTCTTGGGTTCGAATCCCGCCATGTACCAATGTGATTTTCGATTTTTCGAATTTTCATATGTGCATAGTTTACCCGACGTTCTTACGGTGAAGGAAAACATCGTGATGCCTGCACATATCGGCGAAGAAATTCAAAGATATGTGTGAAGTCAACCAACCCGCAGTGGGCCAGCGTGGTTGACTATGGCCTAGTCACCCCTTATTAGGGTTGGCTCCGAGCCCCTAGGTGTGGACGTATAGTGAGCTGGTGATGATGATATTTAATAATACAGAACTAAAGAAGTTATATTTAAATGGAAATCATTTGAAAAATATAAAATCAGGTGTGATAAACATTTTCCCATATTTATTCCAATTAGATTTAA